GATTAGAAGTGCAGTCATATTTTTTGTATTTCTTGCGAAGGCTTCCTTAGCGCCCAACACGTCCCGGGGGGTAAAGAGCAATTTTTCTCAACTGTAGGTCAGGCACACGCGCCACGGGCGGTTGGCGGTCCTTCTGCGGTAATGTACCGACGAGCTCCCTGCCCCCAAGGAGGAAGCGTGCGAAAAGGTTCACTTCCACCAGCGAAACATGTCCCGAGGCACGAAAACAGGCGAAATGGTACAAATACAGATGTATGCGAGTGGCTCAACATGTGCATACATGGCTTTCAGTTTAATGTGTTATGCTGTACACGAGGAGTGCCAAAACAGAGGGCGTGAAGGCCGCTACTGAAAAACAGCAGTCCAACGGGTGTGGCAACAGTACTGTGGGAGCAGCACACTAACCACCATTGGCACGCCTCGGCACATGGATGATACAATTCTGTGCGTGTTCAAGGCAGCACTGACTCCCGGCAGGTGTTGCCGACGTGCTCGCATGACCGACGGAATTCTTTTACGGCCATCGCCCCGTGATCAGTTCGGGGTATCTACTAAATCTCCTACGTGAAACGCGCCGGCCGGAAACCCGGAAAATGGGGACGGTGATTCCCGATTTTTGCCGGGAACCGTAGCGGCGTGGTGAGTTCCAGGCACGTACGGGAACTGTACCAAACAGCCTCCTTCCTGTGTGCCTTGCAGAAAGAAGCGTGACGGCAGACCTCTGCTGGCGCATTATCCGTCATTCACACTGGAGTGAAGACCAAAAAAGTATACATCATGCACTTGGTTATTCCAACGGCTACGGGTTGGTTGCACTTTTTTTCATCTGGTTTCGACATGTGCTTCGGCGAGCTTTCTTTCATCGCGCGGAAAACACGTCCCCCGGAAAGCCAGTGGCAGCGATGTCATAGAGGCGTCGATTGTACGTGCCACGGATGGCGAGCGGTCCTCGGGCGTGCGCGGCATTCTACCGACGCGCCCACCTGCGTGCCCCCGAGAAAGGAGGCGTGAACATCAACAAAAATGATGGTACTTGTACATATGTATCATAGACTTACCGTTTTTTCTTCGGCAACCTGAAAGATTGATGACCATAACTTCAAATCCAGCATGTAACAGGCAAGGCGCAAGACACTCACACACACACACCCCACACAAGTGCACAGCAGCGCCGGTCGCACCTGCCGAAACAGCTCGTGCGCAGTCGCCCCCCGGGCCTCGCCGCTACCGCCGTTCGAGGTCCCTCCTGCTCCTCCTCCTCCGATCCCAACCAGCTCCCGCAGCGCCTCTCCTCGTATATGGGCGGCTCGCTCCAAGTTTTTGGCTTGGCTGCGACTACCGCTGTCCGGCGACGACGAAAGTCGTGTTTTTCCGGCCGAGGGCTTTCGTCGGGCGTCGTCGCCATTGCTGATGCCACCACCGCCTCCTCCGAGGGAACTCCCCGCTCCTCCTCCTCCTCCTCCTCCTCCTCCTCCTCCTCGCCCACTCTCCTGGCTCGCATCCGTCGCCTCCCTTTGTCAGAAGAAGGAATAATCGCGGCAGGAATAGCGGCAGCGAGTTCACGGAATTCAACAGGAGGAGAAGGCGTGTTTGACGAGTTTATAGATAGAGGAAATTCCACAAGGGAGAAGAGAAGAACTGAAAATGATGCACACGGAAGCGGAATCTTTCACAGCTTCGCACGTTGTTCGCGGTTAACCTTAGTTCTCGCCACGTGGACAGAGGAGAAAGCACCGGCAGCAGATATATATACTACATACATAGAGAGAGAGGGGCCAATGATACCAAGGGGCGCTTCGCCTCGAGTGCTGAAAACAGCAATCTCAGGCGGTGAGACTTGGGAGAGAGCGTGCTCGCCTCGTCTTGCAAAAATACCGTCAAGCCTACCTGTCGCGAAGAAACCCGTCACCAAGAAGGGTTGGCGCGCACGCCACTCCATTGCCTACGATGAACACCTAGTCGGCGGCGAAGAAGCAGAAGCAGCAGCACCAGTCGGAGCTGTAAAAAACAGCAGTGGTGATCGTAGCAGTACAAAGATTGCACCAGCAACAGCTGCTGTGGTGACGGCAGCGTCCGAGCGATGAGCTGTGGAGCGGTGGGGGGTTGGGTACATAGCGGTGAAGCGGAGGAGGCACTCGGGGAAATCGAAGACCGGGGGCGTGTTCGCTTCCCACTTGGACGGAATCACGGGGCACACACACCACAAACACCACCACGTACATCCTAGTCCCCGATCACACGCAACAACTCAGTCGTCGTGGAAATACAAAAACCGATACCTGGTGCTCCTCCTCTCCCACCAAGTACGCCGCCAGGTGCTGTCCACGAGGAGCACCTCGGAGCACTATCACGGAGCCCACGTCGAGGGGGCCGATATCGAGGCCGTAGTAAGGCATCCGCCGCTCTTTGCCGGTGGCGTCGACGACGAAAGCCTCCGGGAGTTGATGCCTCGCCTCGTTGTAACGGCCCGGGGGATCGAACATTAGGCTGACAAATCGTTTGCCGCTGCTGCCGAGGGCGTTGCCACGGCCACTGCGGGCGCCGCCGCCGTCGCCGCCGCCGTCGCTACCGCTGCCGCTGCCGATGTCCTTGTCGCCGCCGTTGTTGCCTGCGACGTGTTTCTCGCTCTCTCTCTTGCGCCCGGCGAAGTACGCGGCGGCCCTCCTGGCCTGGAGGCGGCTCACGCGGGCGCCGACGTCTTCGTAGATTACCCTCGATTCTCCCTCCCAACCCTCGCGCGCCGACATCGTGTGGGCCGTGCGGGGGATGCGGTGTCCGTGGGCCTAGCCTGTGTGCAAATCGCGGTCACGGGGGCGCGAGAGAGGTTGGCGAGGCTGCTGGAACAGAGCAGAGGCAGAGAGGGGTGCGGGCGTTTAGGTAAGCAGTGAGGTGCCGCCGGGACACGTGGCGCGTATAACCTTAACAAAGCCCTCGTTGAACCCATCACGAACATCCACATCCAGGTGTATACCTGCTGTACCCCGTGTCCGGAAGAAAGTTCAGACGGTTCGGCAGCGGCTATGCAGAGCGTGTAGCGACCCTCGCACAGAGTACAGCGAGACGTTTCGCGGATAACAGGAAAAAACAGCACTACTGTAGCATCACTTCTGTGCTTGTCCTCGGTCGCTGTGTTCGGCGTCCGGCAGCTGCTGCTGTGAGTCGCTTGAATAACATATTTCTTCAACAAGTCGTGCGGGGGAAGCGAAACAACAAGGCTTGCTGCCACATGTCGTGCTGGCAATAAACCCGTCGTCGGTAACACGGCAGATGCTGGTAAAACAAGCGCGCTCTTTGTAGTGATACAGCAGTAGTCATGGAGGAAAAGTCAGGTACAGGGTGCTGCCGTGAGGCGGCAGGCGTTTGGGGAGAGGGCCCCGGAGCAAAGACAGGATTGTCAGTGGGGTATGTTTGCCATCCGCGAGTCTAGTGACTTGCGAGACACGAAGAGTTAGCGCCCGCACCTAAGGACCTCCAGTGTTGGGCAAGGCCGGGGTTCTGTAACTTCCTACCTACCTGGTAGGTGGGCTACTTTGTGGCTCAGGTACCCAAGTACAGTACGGTAGGTTCTTAGTGTAGGTTCTTCGCCGGGCTCTCAAAAGGCGACTCGCGTTCTTCTGTTTTGATGAAATGTTGAGCATGAACCTATCATTTTAACCGCCACACTCTGAGAGTGCGGGCGCTCAATTGTTGTCCACAGGCAGCAAGGCACGGAGATGAGGAATCACCAGCCTTAACTCAGGAACGGCGGACTGGCGTCAACGTACAGCACCAGCACGGAGCGATCTGGCCAGTTCCATCGTTACCATCCCACCGCACGTAACAGCATGCATTAACTTCCCGCAATGCACCTGCACACCGGCCCTCTCTTTCCGAGCGACAAGTGTTGCAGTCGTAAGGACGAGTCATGCCGCCAGTTGTCTACCTTCTACTTGCGTCAAAGGGAAATTAGAGGTATGTATATCGATGGGCAATGCGAAGTATTGTAGTAGGCTTCACAAGAGGCCGAGTCATGCGGCAGTTACCACATCACTTGCCGTGGTGGGCTGCCTTGAGTTTAAGAAGAAGGCCACCGGATCCTACTTCAGGGAGAAGCGACTCTGATGTCGTTGCATCCCCTCTAATTTCCTCAAGGCTAGACTGCGCTCGGTGCCGCGTGGTTGCTGGCTACCGCCGCTATACATCCAGTTTTGCCGCACCTTCTCGAACGCTATAGTCGCCAAATAGGATCGAGACTACATTATCCGTAACATACAGCAGACGATCGATGGCGCATATACGTGGAACCCAGCAGAAGTTNTTTGAGAAGGCAAGCGCTCTTCCCACAGAAGAACAAGGAAGTAGAATATGTCGCACGCCTGAGACAAGACTCATGCCAATCGTTGTACTTACTGCCTTCGCAACCAAGACCGCGTTGAGTAGCTTCAGTGCGGATGCATTCAACGACTTGTTGTGGCCAATTTTTATGTACGCTGCACTTCGCGGTTCTCTCTCCCTCCCTCCCTCCCTCCCTCTCTCTCTCTCGTTGTCTTACCCCACGCGAGCCCTTTGTGAGAGAAGGGCCTTCAACGGCGGCACGTGTGCCTTCTTGGAACAAACGAGGCTTCCAGCAGGCCCGTCCCACAAGAGACAGCGGCCAACATCCTTGACACACTCACCCTAATTTATATCCGTCCGTGTAATCTTCTTCGGCGTAAAAACCAGCTCCCAAGCAGTCGGCAACTCTAGAGGCACCAACGTTTGTTGATCCTGCTGCGTATTTGCGTCGTTTTACGCGGTAGCAAGTGTGTCCGCTGCACACCCAGCATAAAAGGCCTGGCTGAGCTGATCTGCACTTATTGATTTTGCGTCGCCCCCGCGGTGGGACTGCTGCTGTGCGTGAGCGTGAGCCCGTCCGTGATGGAAGCAGCAATGCAGAAGGGGAAAAAGAAAGGAAGAAGCCGGAGAGCCGTGCGCCCTGCCGAACCTCAAGGTCTACCGCACCCTGCCTGCTGCGTCGCGCGGACGTAAACAGCCTTGTTTGCTGGTGTCAGGTGGGGGGAACTACGCACAAGGGACACCCGGCTCTGCTACAGCAGCGAGGCGCCTTTTCGCACAAGGACAGACAAGCATCATACGAACGGGGGCGGGCTCCGTTTGTTGTTGCTGGGGGCAGCGGGAGAGAAGCAGCGATGCGGAGGAAAAACGTGCGGCGGTCTCTCCCAGGAGTGATCGTCGAGGATGGCATGCTAGCGGATGACTATATCGGGTGAGAGGGCAAAGGCACCAGAAGAATGATTGTGTTTTGAAAATAGGACGGAGAGTTCAGCAGGTAAATCACGTCACCTACTATTCAGAGCAATGCCCGAACCCTTCATGCTTCAGTTCCTGTGTGATGTGTCCATCCGCCAGTGCTGTGTGTGCTGCTGTTGCTGCTGACAACAGACGGGGGCTGTGCATGCACACACAGTAACGGCAGCAGTAGCAGCAGCAGCACGTCGCCAATACATCAAACGTCACCCCTTGCTCTCCACAAACACACCAACACCCCCCCCGCAAACCACAGCAGCAGCTGCGACGTACGCAGCAGCAGCGTGGCGTTTCTTATCACTCTTTCGAGTGCATCTAACACATCAGCAGTAGCTAATAGCCTCTGGCGTCTGATGCCGTTGCGAACGTGTTCCTTATCAGCAGGGTAAGACGATGTGTGTGAGTCTGTGTGCAACGGCTCTGTTGTATACTGCTGTGTTGACTCGTTTACACGCATCATCCCCCACGGAACGCACTGAACTGTTCTGTGTTTTCTCTCCTCGCCGGAATATCCAAAGCCCTGTTACCTGTTTCACCTCACCTCTCCGAACGCGGAACGCGGTTTGCTACTGTAACAGGTTTTCCTGACAGGTTTTATGCTCTGTTTTTTGGTGATGAACAAAAAGAAAAGATTCCACCATAACATGGAGAGATAGATGCACAGAACGGCTACCACACTGCTGTCTTGTTGACCCTGTTGCCCACGGGGAAGATGTCGCTGTACGCTGCACGGGAAATCATGGAAACACAGGTAGCCTTCACTGACGCTATGGATTCATTGCTGATCTGTCTTGGACTCTTTTCTTAGAGATGGATTCGGTAGTGTCATTTTGTATGAAGACAAAAAAAAGAGAATCACATCAAAGAAATGCTGGACGGGGAAGGGGGTTTATTTTTACCGACTCGGAAGATCATGCGCGCTTGCGCAGGGCGGGCAATTCTTCCCGCCAAGGAACGACAGGACAAAGCAACTCAGTGGTCCGAATGCTTACACTGCTGTACCCCTTGTTTGCATTTGGTTTCCCGGAGCACCGCTCGTTGGTCGACGAATTCCATGGGCGGGCGGCCTAGCAAGTCGCCCTTCGTTCTTTCGCGCACGGAGTGTGCAAAAACAAAAACCCATTTGGAGAGAAATGTATAAAGACAGAGGTGGAACACCATTGGGTCCTGGTGTCAAATAGCATAGAGCATTCTGCTGCTGTACATACACCCAGGGCGTGCAGTTGATGTTGTAGGAGGGGGGAGAGAGAGGGAGAGCCAGTGTGGGGCGGGCACCGCGGTCATTCCCTCGAACAACCACTACGCAGAGGAGGAGGAAGAGGAGATACGTACGGCGGCAGCAGCAGCAGCAGCAGCAGCAGCAGAAGCAGACGACATCAATTCATAAGAAGTCTGTGGTGCTGATGAAGGGCACGAGAGACGCTCGATCGGCGTCGGACGGTGACGTCGAATGGGCTTCTCACAGGTGCTTTGTTGGTGATGCTGGTGCTGCGTTGCCTCCCGAGATATGGCCACCAACTACTAGACCGCGGTTCCATCTCTTAGCTGGGAGCATCCGATCGGTCTATCTACCTGTCCTGCTCTTGCCGGGTGCAGCAGTGTGTGCATGTTGAAACTGCTGCGCGCCGATCCTTTTTTTGTCTTGTCCTCCGAGCTTGTGAATGTGGCGACACAGCACAGCTGCCTGTCGTCTCTCTTGCAGCTATCGATCTTGCCACAAGAGACTGCCGCCATCTATCCATGGGTGCCTAAAGCACCCCCGTGCCGACAACGCCTCGGTCGAGCGGTGCCGTGAACACGACCGCAGTTTTCGTAACGAAACATTTATGCATGTGTGAAGCAGTTTTGGTATCAATATTATCCTCTCCAAGGGGCATTCTTGGTCGGTGTTGAAAGATTGAACACAGTCAGTGTGCCAACTGAGGGGTGACGGGAAAGAGTAGACGCGCGTCATCTACAACAACAAACGCGCACGAATTTTGCTGTAGGTGCGCGGGCGTTGTAAAAGCCCAAGAGAGAACACCACGCCCATGAAAATTGCCGGCTCAATTTTGCTCTTTTGTGACGCTGGTTTGCCGCTGCTGCTGTTGATCGGTTTAGCTGGAGACGGTCAGAAGAAGGCCGTCGCCGAACAAAGCGTCGTACGGGCAGAAAAAAAAACACAGGGGGCAACGATCAGACTGCCAGCCACACAGAAGTGCTTGAGTGCCTGAATCTCCTTTTCCGAACAAAACTGTCTAATATGGTGGGTTTGTTTGTGTTCGTGTTTCTATTTTTCTTCTTCATTGTACGAACACAAGGAGTCATCTCTATCCAAGATGTACGTCTATCTGCAATCAAAGAGAGTCTAACACTTGGTGTTAATATAGGTATCTCTCTCGAAGAGTATGCATGTGTTCCAGTCTCCGCTCTTTTTTTTGTTACTGTCACATCGATAATTCCATCTCCCCTCTGTTCCACGTTCATAGGCTTTCTTTTGAACGATTAAAAACCAAGTACACCCCGTGTGCCGTCGCGTTTCTTCGAACGGCGTGTGGGCGGGGGTGGGTGTGTGCCTACGATGGTTGTTGCCGGCCGCAACCCACGCCGCGGTGGCCTCTGCACAGCTAATACCGCAGGAGGGGGGTCCAACCCCCCCCTCCTATGTGACCCCGGTTGGGTCGTCTAGCCAGTAGAAGTGAAGGACAGGGGCCAGAGGGGCAGACGGCAGAGTCCAATGATGGGAGAGAAACAAACAAAAAAAACTGCTGTAGTCTTGAGTTTTTCGTCCCGCGGCGGCCGTGGCGCGGCAGCAGCAGCGACCGCTGGAAGGGTTCGAAGAATTTCACTGCTGACAGCGGCTCCAGGCCGACCTTGGCGCACGCCGTCGTCGTTGTTGTTGTTGTTGATGGCCAGATACGATTACTGTCTCTTTTGGTTCGATGACTCTTTGGGCTACCCGGTCCTTGACGTGCGTATTTTGCTATATAGAGGTAGCATGGCCGGCGTTCGGCGGCCCACCACATGAAACGTTTTTTTTTTATCGCTGTGGTACGAAGTAGACACGGACCAGCCTTGCTGAACGCCATCCGAGTCTCAACAGGAGCAACGCGCGTTGTGAGGTGTTGCCATCTTACTTTAGAGTGGAACAAGAGTCACACAAGCTTCCTTTTAGGCTGAGTCTCACGCCACATTAGTATTAATAAATGACCTGAATGTACGCACATCATCCGCATCTGAGTGTACGCTTATGCATCATACACTTGGAAGTATGTCGAATATACCTGGGACCAGGCAACGGCATCCTGTCAAGGATGCATGCACTGCACAATCATTGTTTTTCGTTTCGTTTCGTAAGTGACTCTTGAGTCCTTGTGCTGTGCGGCCTTACGATACGTGATTCACCGTGATTAGAGGCGTCTGTGTACAAGGTGGATGGTGTGATCGAAGTCAAGTTGTGTGTTACTTTTCGTTTGCCACAACCAAGCAAAACGCCATTCCGTCCAGATCTCGGAAGGTTCTTCAGTTCGGCGTTTTGTTGGTCGTGTGGGGTCCGCTTTAGATTTCGCCAAGGAGCTGCATAGCTCACCATAAACCCAACTCAGCTGCTACTCGCTGATGGCATGAAACGCGGTTTTGTCACGGACCCCAGAGGGTGGGTTTCGGGGTTTATTGGTCACCCCACACCAGTGGAATGCACCGGCATCCTTGCGTCCAGTCGTGGAACACCGGTTTGAGGTGACGCAAGAAAGCACGCAGGGGCGATATGAATGTTTGGAGTTGTTCTCATCACCGGCGGTGCTATCATAAATCCTGGAAAAGGGGAGTGCTTGTTATCTTGTGTCACCGGTGTGATGCATCTGTGCACGCTTAACGGAGCCCGTAGTCAGGTGTGTGTGGTATCTCTATTGCCGACAATATTGCTGCTCCGACAATGGGGGTATGACATGTATAAAAGGGGGCGTGACGAGAAAGGGGTGTGATACGCACATCTCTGTTGCCAACACATGGCTGCTGCCACACTCGTTGACGGGTGTCACAGAACGCGGACGCTGCTGTTGTACGGGGCTTCAGCGTCAAGTATGGGAGTCTCATCGCTTGGCTTGGTGCCGGGTCGTTTTTCTAGAGAAAATGTTGTAACATGATCGCCCATGGAGGCGCCGGCCCAGCCGTTGCTGGCACCGCCGTCTGAGCCTCGTCGTTTGCAGCAGGGTTCTGTTTTTTTCCAGGAGGATTTTCTACCTCCTCCACCTCCATGACGATTGGAGTGTTTATATTGTATACGTACCAACTACTGTGTGCTTCTGCTCGTGTGCGCGGACGTGGTCGTCACAGCGGTACCACACCGGGTTTTTTTTTTTTTTT